GAAATGTGAATAGCCCAGGGCAGAAGTTGAGATACCACAACTGTTTAGCACACGTTTGGTCAAAGGATCGACTTCACTTGTCTCTTTTGTGAGTTGTAGTGTGGTGCTAATACTGTCGAGACTCACTGAGGATGCCGGCGAAACGTCTGGGAATGTACTACGTGTACGGTCCGACTTTAGAAATGATCATGCATGTATAGATTCCAGACTAGGTGTGTTCCTCTAAGTCTTCCTGCGAATATGATCAAGTTGCAATAACAAGGTCAAACAACCTCTACCTATGAAATGGTTTTGCTAGTTTTCTCAACCCTCACTTTGTTTATGTAAGAATAAAAAAGATTGGGGTTTTGTCTCTTTCTCTGTGAGCATTTGTATGTGAACGTATCCGAGACCATCAAACATAACTTCTGCCCAGGGTAATGGAAGATTTAAATCGAGTAAAAGTATCATCACGGTTGCGAATCAAAGAGGGCCCAGCGGCCCCTCAACTCAATACCTGGCTTCTCATAGTGTCATTGTGTTTAGCTGTACTTTGTTCTGCCACTTCTTACGGTTCGACCCAGCCGCATGGTAAAGATAGTTTAGATAGTTGCCTATTTTGTGCTCCGCTAATCTTTGGCGGATCACCCGACAGGTTTCACCCTTTCTCAGATTCTAAATGAGAAAGACTTACTTTAGTTACAAGACATGGCTGAGTTAAGCAATCTATATGAATACTAGAACTCATGATAAAATGTTCATCAAGCTAAACACTTAAGTATTAGGATCAGTTCCAGGGACCTCGTATCTAGAGGGAAGATTAATGAGGAGAGGTCTAACGAATTTTGCAAAGATAAGATAATTAATGTGGGAATGTACCACGTCCACGGTCCTACTCTGGAAATGATGATGTGTACAATGGACTCGGGACTAGGTGCGTTCCTCTAAGTCTTCCTGCCAATATGACCATGTTGCGAAAACAAGGTCTAACAACCTATATACAACTAAAGGAGACTGCGACCACACAAATGGCCACACCATCTCGGTCTTCATACCTTCGATACGATAATTAATTAATCCAGTACATAGCTGGAGGATGGTGTGAAAATTCTACCGGAAAGAGGATTAAACTTTTCACCAGTGAATGAGTTAAACTGGTCGTATCAGATAGATTACCTGAACAGGTCAAGTATAGAATAGAGTTGGAGGGGTTTCCTCACTTTGACTAGTTAGTTACACCAAAGAAGTCTTTTCTTCTGAGCAGGTTATCTAGATATTTATTTCATAATAATCTAATTGTCATGAAAGCCGCCAAAGTTTGAATAGTGGTAGTCTTGGGTAAATTTGAGGAACGCTTAAGCAGGAGGTAATACTCACTCTTAAATTGCTTATTAGATAATGGAGGATTATTCTGGGATCCTGTAGCATGGCAAAGATAGTTTAGATATTTGCCTATTTTCACTTAATCAGCGTAAAAGGAAAATCTAATTTATAATGGTGAATAATTGATAGTTGGATGTGTAAATAATGATCTGATTAGGCCTCATGATATTAGTGAATTTCGTATTGCCTTGCCTCCAAAACGATTTTCTCTTCCCAAATGGATTGTGGTTCAGTCTTTCCACTAAAAACAGGATCCAGAAAAAGATCTTGAGCTTAAAGTGGCCACACGTTACAACTACGCCACAAAACCACGGGTGCCATTTCATATTTTATAATGGGATTATCAATCAGGCAATTGACTAAGTTACTTGTATTTATATAAGAATTAGATACTGGATTTTAAATATTTACTGTAATAGTGAATTTTCCCACACTTATTTAAGTAGACTCCACAATGCTAATACATTTAATCTTGTCTCTCAAAAACTATTATCTTCTTGGATGGATGACAGTTTGAAGCTCACTTAGACCCCCAATATCATTCGAAACTGAGTAAACAATACTCTTCACTTATAAAATACTTTACCCTGTTGGCTGTTTCAGTTTTGTCTGCATCAAGAATCCTTGTTTCCCTATTCGTCGCCGCCTTCTGACCCGCGCAAACTCACACTCCTCGGGCTTGCTCCCCGACGCTCCATCTGATCTCGACTCACTTGATCTGACTTTTGATACAAGATCAGCCCGCCGATGTCTGGCTGGGGATGGTGAGTTGGCTGACTCGGACTCCAATTGGGCCACGCTTGTAATGCCATTGACTAAAGAGGTGAGACGGTGAGAGGGAAATTGGACTTATTGTCTCCGTTTTATAATTTAGTCAGCTTGCAATTCTTTATAGCTTGGTAAATGCTAGTATCGCCTGTATGCTAACTGATAGGCATGATTTAGTGTGCATTTTTATTTATAGTTTTGATCATTCACTCTTAATATGAAGTGTTTTATCACTCTTTTTCGTTTAAGGTGATATAGGGGCTGGTATTTTAGTTTTCCTGCAATGATATGATATTACATTTCACATAGCCTTGCGTTCCCAAAAGGTATACTCCTCTCGGCTGGAGCGGACTATAGTTTCGACCTCGCTCAGGTCTTATCAGCACCCACACGGGGACTCGAACCATGACGGCGTAGCCTATAGCCTCGAGACGTTCATCACCACGCTAAATTTACGTAACTTTCATCGTAAATATGAAGACCAAGATGGTGAGGTCTTCTGTTTGATCGCGGAATTCTTTAGCTTTATAATGTTGGATCAACCTCGTTTTCGCAACTTGGTCGGTGGGTCAGGGAGACCTTGTGGGACCTACCTAGTTCTGTACGCTCTGCCATAATATTCGTGATTTCCAGCATCAGACGACAGACTTAATTCACAACTTCTCATCGCTTACAAATTAACCCATCAATCCTCCATGCTTATTTTAACATAACGTATTCTAGTAAGACACAATTTCATTGGTTTTTATTTGCCATTTTGTGTTTCTCAAAATACCTGAATCTTTATTTTTAAATAGAAGGGCGGGGTTATAAAAGTAAATGCCGGCAACTCCGATTTGATTGTATAACATCCTGAGCGATATGCAACCCGGTTAGATTATAGGCGGGACTTGGAATTATTTTATTTTAATGACAGTGAGGCTTGGGTACTATTCCCTTATGGCACGTACATCGGATACTTGATGTTGATGGTAGGATATATGCAACCCTGCAAGGAATCCAAAGAACCTTAGATGCGTAGGCGCTTTCTGTCCTATCCACCTCGGGTTTCAAAGAGATTTCAAGACTTGATTTTTAGCTATTGCCTAGTTGTTGACTGGTTACATATGCTAGAATAGCTAAGAAACTGGATACTATTGATATAAGAAATAGTCGATAAACTCGAGCGAATGGTAGTCATTAAGGCATATACGCTGGGTCGGCAAGAAATATAAGAACAATTTGGGGCGCCGGTCACTGCGTTTTGGTCATCTATCGCGTATGATGAAGAGCGAATGTCCACAAGAGCTCAATAGGCTAGCTAATCCACTGCGTTAAGGGCATGCTTTTCGCTACATTAAAAAATGATAAAGCGTGGGCAGGACCAGAAGGGATGGAACATGTATTGTTACCCTTTATGCCTACTGCCGGCCTTGCCTTACAACTGCAGATATTGCATATTTGGGTCTTTGGGGAGTGTTTGAATTAGTTAAGGCAGTGATTCCAAAACTGCGCCGCGGCGCCTCGGGGAGCCGCGGCCTCTTTACAGAAGCGCCGCGAAATATTGTAAATGCTTCAATTTGAGAAAATGTGCAGGGATTTGCAGGCTCATTCATCACATTAATTATTAAATATTAATTTAATGTCAATAAAGTGAAAAAAATAATGAATATACACGAGTTTTATTTATTTTTATCTCTTGCGAATAGTCATACTGAGGGTAGGGCGCCATGGAAAAATTTTAATTGAAAAAGGGCGCCGCGACTAGGAAAAGTTTGGCAATCACTGAGCTAAGGTGTTCTGTCAGCAAAGTTAAAGGGCTTTGATAGAATCATTGTATACGAAGAATATCTGGGTTGGGTAGAGCGAAAACTACTTATGCTTAACTGAATGAATGAAGTAGAGTCTCCAACCAAAAGACAACGACTAACTTTGTCAGCTTACTGATGCTCCTAGCAAAATTCACGCTTGTTTATCAGGCATGTAAGGCTCATCAACCAAAACAGACGTACGAGATTAGGTTATCACAGTCATACTTTTCCTTGGTTCATTAGGTCTTAATGACCCCAGATGAGCGGGCTGTGACGGGTGGTTTCGTGACCTTGTATCACACACCAACAGGCTTACATCTCATCGTCTCAATCAGAATTACTTACAGGTATACACAATCTCGGTCATGCTTTTCCTTGTGTCATTAAGCCTTGATGAACTGGGCCTGACTAGGCTTTTGTCTACTCTGAGTTATAGCCAGTATTACCTACAGACGTTAACGCACAGGCACAGGCACGCACAGACATACTCGAGTATAATAAAACTAACCAAATCATTCCACATGCATCTATATCTAAGTGCTTTTTTGTTATGAATATATACATCATGTAGGGCAGAGCCGATTAGTCTTCTTGACTTAGTGTTTACTTGAGACTTGCAAAAACGAGTCCCGGCTCTGAGGATGTTCGTCGTATGACGAACGAAAGTTCAGCCTCTTTTCAAATGGAAAGAAGGTAGGATGTCTCATGGACTGCGTCAACGTGAACATCATATTAAACTCAAGCGGTTGCAGAATAACTTGAATCGACCATCATCTTCCAGTGAGCTTGATCAACGAATATAAAGGCTGTATTCACCCTATTCCGTTTCAGGTAATAAAGGACTGGTAGTTGAATTCTCCCAAAATCATATGAGTAGGCATTATGTTTCCATTGGATTTCACATAGCCTTGCTTTCCAAAA